ATTATTAGATTTATTCATGTCTTGTTGGGAAAGTGACGTATTCACCTTTATTTCAATCCTAGGTAACAGAATCACTACAAAAAATAAAAACTGCGTAAATTATTGCGCCACATATAAATTTTATATAGAACAACTAAGTCCACGAAAATACTTCTTTTATTTAATTACATAACGTATTTTTGTATGAAGAGATGTCAAGTGATTACCCTTGAATTAACAAGTTCTAAAACTCTATCCTCACTAACTACATAATGTAATTTTCGGTGAAGAATTTAGAGGAATTATATGTTACTTTTGTATCAGTGAGCATGGATAACCTCAAATATTAACATAGGGCAAGAGTGTAGCAATTCATATCGGTTCAATTACAATTTTGACACTTTGCCGGCCGTTTCTTGTTGTGATACTTGTCTAGACCAACAATAATTGGTGCACAACTTTTTGGCAGTGTATGAGACCTCAATTTCAATAAATAAACAAAATATAACACGTGTTATACCAAATGTTTCTTTCACCTTTTTGCTAAATTTGTAAACAAAAATAACCCAAAACAAAAAAAAATGAACTATTTGTCTCTTTATAATGTAAAACTGTTACTCCACAAAATATCAATAATATGTAACAATTCATGTCTACTGAATTTAGTTTTCGGAAACTTTAGTCCCGGAATATTCGATCCGATCCGTCCGTTTGGCACCCCTATGTTGTACTACCTATTCTTATGATAACTATTCAAAAAGTTTTGGCATTATATTGTCACGTGGTGCTATACTAGATAACTACTCCCTCCGTTTACTTTTACTTGTCATATTTCGCTTTTCGAGAGTCAAACCACATAAACTTTGACCAACGTTTTAACATGTGTTTTTTCACCATATTAATATAAGAAAAATTATAAATTATAGTACTTCTCGTATAGTTTCCGAATATCTAAATTTTAAGTTTAAAAAATTAAGAAAATCTAATGCAATTTAGCTTCAAAAATTAGTTAAATTGACTCTCATAAAGTACAATAACTGTTTCATTCTGCAAGAACAAAAACTAACCAGTAAAGTAAAGGTACCTAATAAAGGAGAAAAAAGTAATAGAACCGAGTCACTATTTGTAATCTGTGTTCTAAATCAGAAAATCAAGGAAGGAAAAAAAATGTTAGTTTAACAAACAAAACATTAAATTATTCCGAGCCCACAAGTTGCTTGTGTGTCCTTAAAAAATTTAATCCCCTCACTGTTTCCCAAGGTTATGGATTAATTCCTCACATGATAGAACGGAATAACTATTCTGTAATACTGGCAATTGAAATTACAGAACTTCAGCGAACTCAACAAACGGAGAAAATCACACTTGACACTTATGTTTATTTGAAAAATAATGCAACAATGTAGAAAAAGAGGAGAAGTTTTCAGATTTTTCATCTTTTAAAAATGAGGACAAGCCTCTAAATTTATGGACAATGAAAGGGTGAGATGAAGAGGTGCAATTCAAAAGGTGCCTCTTCCATTTCCCATTCACACCCTTTAGAAAATACCCGACAATCCCCCACATGAATGGGGAACGGCCATATGTATAAAAACATGCATGAAAATTGTGTGATTCGCAAGAAAGGATTAATCACATCTGGATGAGTAGGTTTCCCTTTGAACTTTCCGTAGTGAGCTTATGTCGGATATACTCGGTCAATCGGTAGATTTGATATCTTTGAAACATCAAGCTTTGGTGTATACCTAGACAACCATAAGTCACACAATCAATCCTTAATCATCTTTAGTTCGCATTGTTGTGTTCGTTTTAGTCATGAATACCGCTTGGTTTATAAGTGCATAGAGAATGGCCTTACGGAATTCTCCTTGAAGCGGCTTATACTTTACACTTACATAGGTGATTCCTAAACGTGTAATCTCGTAGATACACTATTTGATATACCCTGTATCAAACTTAGAAACCATTAAAAAGTCTTAACGCTTCATCCTTGATATTGAAAATTATCTCATCACGAGAATGGACCAAAATTTTATTTGATACTATTGAACCGTCACTAATGACTTTGTTTGATTCCTTGAACCTAGATCTTGGAATTTCCCATCTTCTAGGTAGAGTTACCGCCAAAATGAATTGTCCTCGGCCATATTCCCATTCTCTTCTATGATCTCTCAATTACCTCTCTAGTTAGGCCTTTTGTAAGTGTATCCAATACATTATCCCTTGACTTCACATAGTCAATTATGATAATATCCCTAGAGTAGTTGTCTAATGGTTATATGTCTTTGTCGTATATGACGAGATTTTTTGTTTTACATAACGCTCCATGCCTTTTCTATTGCCGCTTGACTATCACATTATATGCATATATGTGCCAATATTTTGGCTAAGATGGAATTACTTGAAGAAATTTCAAAGCCATTCAATTTCTTCATCGACCTTGTCTAAGGCTATAAACTCAGTCTTCAAAGTAGAGCGGGTAATATATGTTTATTTGGATAATTTATCAGACATCACTCCTCCACCGATTGTAAAAATATATCTACTTGTGTATTTATAAACGGTTAAACCGGTAACCTAATTTGCATCAATATTGTAGTGCAAAGCATAAATTTGAGTATATTTCAAATATCTCAAGACTCATTTTATTGTCACGACAGTTCAATGCGAACTTCCTTATGTCATAGACTAATACATCTCGACTTTCTATTGCATATCAAATTATTGACTACACTTAATGTAGCAACATTACATTATATCAACAACTGGAATGATTGGTATTAGTTGTGGCCACAACCTTTTAATGTATAATATATTTCGCAATCACTCCGTCATTTTCTAGCATTTGTATGCTATTTTTCTTATCCCAAAATGCAATACAGGTCTATATGAGAAATTATAGCGCCTTCATTCACGAAACAAATCCAACTTGCTATAGATTTTTATCATTTTCATTAGTTGGTTCACCATATTATAGAACAATGTATTAATACGTCCATTCTAGAAAGGCACGTGAACAACCTTCAAATTGGAAGTTTCATCAACTAATCATCACTAAGATCGAACAAGTAATGGATTTACAAACTATCATATCAAAGTTATTCTAAATAATATAGACATTGCATCTAACATTAGCTTTTGTCATGCATAAGCTAAACAACCTCACATTTCAATCATGTACCTTTCTATTATTTCAAACAATGACTATATAATTTTGAGTATTCTTAATGTAAATACATTTATTATACTCATTAATTTGAAACCATTTGATAATATGTTTTGTCAGATTTCGCATGCCATTGTTTTGAATTCTTGTTTCAATCAGTAAAGCGACTTAACAAATTGACACACCCTCTTCTCTTTTTTGGGAACCACAAACCCTTCAGGTTGTTCCATATAAATTTCGTCCTCCAAATCTCCATTTAAGAAGGTTGTCTTCATATTCATCTGATAGATTTCAATGCTATTTGTCAATAGAACCATCAAATTTCATTGTTTTCTTTTGAAAATCCACTTAGAATCCATATGTTTATTTCTTAGAGGAAGATCAACTAACTCCCAAGTAGGGTTATTTAATATGAATTATATCTCACAATTGGCCTTTCTTTAAAAAAAGACATAACTTCTTTAAACGTTTGAGACTCATTTTCCAACAAGAATGTTAGAAAATCTGCCGAAAGGAAGTAGTTGTCCTTTGACATTTACTACGTCTTGGATTCACCTCATTAGATGTACTTTCCTTTGATTCTTCCCGGGGTCGCTTTGATATTTCACTAGACGACTCATATTCCTTGTTATAAGGATAAATATTCTCAAAGAATTCAGCATTATCTGATTTTATCACCATATAAATATAAATCTCCAGATTTTCTGAATTGTGAACGAGAAATCGATATGCTTTACTACTGGTTTCATATCCAATGAGAACACAATCAATAGTTTTCGATCATATCTTTACCCTTTTGGGTTTAGGAACTTGCACTTTTGCCAAATACCCGCACACTTTAAAACAATTCAAGTTAAGTTTCCTTCCTTTTCATTTTCCATATGGAATAAATTGTGTTTTACTATGGGGAACTCAATTGAGTATTCAGGTAGATGTAAGAATAGCCTCACCCCACAAGTTCTGGAGTAACCTAGAACTTATCAACAAAGCATTCATCATTTCATAAATGATCGATTCTTTCTTTCCGCAATCTCTTTGAACTGGGGCATGTATGAGGCCGTTGTTCGATGAATAACACCATATTCCAAGCATATTTCTTCAAAAGAAGATTCATATTTTCTACCCCTATTACTTTATAGATCCAACCACATGATCTGTTGTTTGTGCCATATTGATAGAGCCAGAATTAAATATGGTGAAGTTTTAAATCTTCAAACCAATCTGACACAACTAGAATTTAACAGTGAAGTTTTTAATCTTCAAACAGAGTAATATCTGACGCAATCAAATTTAAGAAACGGCAAAGTTTTTAATCTTAATATTGGGTAATAAATTGGAGTATAAAATCACGACTTTAATTTCAAAGATCGAGTAGAAAATCACGCAGATTTTAATCTCGAAGTAGGGTAGAAAATCACGAAGATATTAATCTCCAAAATGGGTGTAGAAAATCACGAAAATTTTAATTCCCTTTCCAAATAGTTTTTCAACTAAACCATTATTACACTTTAAACAGTTTAATCTCTTTCTCTAATCAAACAAGTATGTATTATATTCATGATCTCAAAAATATTTTCAAGTATTAGTGTAACATTCAAGTCTTACTTCCCTTAATGAGAACTTGTCCAAAGGACTCTTAGGTTTTCACAACTAATTTACCAAATCCTCCATTATATGAATCGATATTTACCAATTCGAAACAAAATACAAGTGTTTCCAAGAAACAATTTGGGCATCGATTCAAAGAAGTCAACGCTGGCAACACATGAAGCAACATATGTTCTTCAACTCCATCTTCCGAAATTTCACCATATATCCCATTTCAAAATATTCTTTTAATTTCTTCAGCATCCGTTGAAGAAATTTGTACTCTTTCGATTCAGTCAAGTGCGGCGGCTTCGTAGTCATTGCAAACGTGATAAGACTTTATGGAGATAAGTCGTCCAAGTCATTTTCATCTGCTATAAATAGATGCATAGGATAACACTCTCTTTGCTCAAATTAAAGAAAACCATTTAACTCAGGAGATAAACAAGTATGGCTGTTCACAGAGTTAATTTCCTTGCTTTCCTCCTCTTATTTGGTAAGGTTTTTCTTTTCAACTTTCTTTAAGGAAAAATATACATAAAAATCCTCTCAAATTGCGAGAGTCCTATTACCCCCTTAACTCGCTTAAAGTGGTATTATTATTATTATTATTATTATTATTATTATTATTATTATTATTATTATTATTATTATTTGCATTAATATTGAATAAAAAAATTTGGTGAAGAGTGTTGGCGACCCTGTTTCTATAAATGGTTCTTCCTATAGCAAGCATTTTGCAAAATAATCTTTCACTCTTTGCTTAGTACTTTCTCTTTCTTTAAAAAGTTCTCGTTATTTATACTTTTGATGATAAGTTATCATAAAGATTACGTTTTAAAAAAGTTATACGTGAAATTTTATCGCTAGTTACTGGCATATTTAAGATCAGTGGTGCCCCCGTCGCGCTCAAATCCTGGGTCCGCCTCTGCTTGCCGATAAAAGAAACTGAAAGAAAAAGAAAAAGGAGTTTAATTATGGGTGTTCACTCAATATTTATCAAAATATTTTTATAATTGTCTATGCAAATTTACTAAATCTGGTCAAAAGTAATAGGTGCTCAAGCACCCACAAATGTCCATGTAAATCCACCACGTAATATGGAGGTAATAATATCACTTCGAACGAGTTCACGAGGACAATAAGACTCTTACATAATTGAAGGTTCTAACTGGTTTAAACAGACTACTTTTAAGGAGGATTTTGTGTATTTCCCTTTTTTTTAAACTTTCTCTCTTACCCAATTACTTGAATTCATTGTGCAAAACTCATAAGGTAATTAATTTGGTTATGTTGTAGGTATGTCTCTGCTTGTAAATAATGTGGAACATGCAGATGCCAAGGCTTGTCCCTTTAACTGTGATCCAAGAATTGCCTAGGGAGTTTGCCCGCGTTCAGAAGAAAAGAAAACAATAACCAAATATGCACCAACTGTTGCGCAGGCACGAAAGGTTGCAACTATTTCAGTGCTAATGGAACTTTTATTTGTGAAGGAGAATATGATCCTAGAAATCCAAAAGCTTGTCCGCGAAATTGTGATCCAAGAATTGACTATCGAGTTTGCCCGCGTTCAGAAGAAAATAATAACCAAAAATGCACCAACTGTTGCGCAGGCACGAAAGGTTGCAACTATTTCAGTGCTAATGGAACTTTTATTTGTGAAGGAGAATCTGAATATGTAAGAAAAGTGGATGAATGATCTCCCGAAGTCTATGGTTGTTGTTTCCTAAGTCCTAAGTGATAATATGTAGTCTATGTATGAAACAAAGGCATGACAATATGCTCTGTCTTGCCTGTAATCTGTAATATGGTAGTGGAGCTTTTCCACTTCTTGTGCTAGTTTTCATAATGTTTAATAACAAATGGAGCACTAGTTTGTTCTAGTTAGTGATGCTTTTGTTGCATTTCTTTCATTTAGAATGTACTGCAAAAAGTTAAATCTAATTAGTCTTCTTTAGCTCAATTAATGTGAAATCTGCTGAAAATAGTATGACACTGCCCACTTGTGGCTGTGCTTCTGCAAAAGAACAAAATTGACATTATTTTTTTTCAATTTCAGAAACTTTGTTTACTATTAAGATTGAATCTCAATTTTTGAACGATTTGGTGGACTTTTAAGGTGGGTTTAATTGAAAATTTGAAGTAGAAGATGAAAGATATATATCCCATGTATATCTCTCGTGCATCATTTGTGTATCCCGTATAAAGCAAATGTGTATTACATATATATCCCCAGTATATTTATGTATATTTGTGTATGAAATACATGTGAGATACATGTTTCGCATAGGGAACAATGTTTATGTTGTTGCTCATAAAGGTCGCGGAAGATTCTATATTTGGCATCATGGTACATCTTTACTTTTGTCCAGGTTTTTTTCCAATATTGTATGTCATTGATAAATTTTTCTCCAAATTTTTATAACATGACTTAATGACTAATTGTGGGTAAATGGTATCTATTTTTTTTTTTTTTACTTATTTATATAGTTTTCCCTCCCATTTACGTGTATAGGTTCCATGGAAATGATGAATATTATCAGGATTTTTTTTTTGAGAAAATATAAAATATTTGGTGTATTTGGTATAACGGAAAATATTTCCGTGGAAAATATTTTCTTGGAAAACAAGTAGTAATCTTACTCATTTTCCGGTGTTTGGTACACAAATTAAGGAAAATAACTTCTCAAGAGTATTCACAAATAATTTAGATACAATAAACATGAAGCCATAAACTTTCGAACCAACAACCTTCCGAACCCACAAATTTCATAAACTTCTGAACCACTAAACTTTCGAACCCGTAAACTCTATAATTTCTAAATCTGACAAAATTTCAAACACATAAACCTCAGAACTCATAACTTTGGAACTCGTAAAATTTTGAACCAGTAAACTGAAAAATAAAAAAACAGAACCGAAAATATTAAAAAAAAAGAAAATTGTCGGGGGAGGGTTGACGGGGTTGGGGTGATGCAGAAAAACGAAAAGTTAGAAAATTGAAAAATACAAAAAATAATATTTTTTTGCGGCGGAGGGCATCGAGAGGGGGAGAGGTGCTGTAGAATTTTTTTTTTTTGTTTTTTTACAGAAAATTGAAAACACA